TAATTTTAATAATGGTGGTTAAACCAATGGTAATTTGAATAATGGTAGTTTTAACCAATGGTAATTTAAAGCCATGGTGGTTTTAACCAATAGCAATTTTAACTAATAATTCAAACTACTATTGGTTTAAATTACCATTGGTTTAATTAACCATTTGATAAATTTACTATATCAGTTCAAACTACCATGAGTTTAAATTATTATTGCTTGAAAGCACAAATAGTCAAAAATAGCATTAGTTAAAAGTACCATTAATTAAAACTACTATTGGTTAAAAAACCATAATTTCTTTAAATTACCATTGGTTCAAACTCCTATTAGATAAAACTACCATTATTTAAAAACAATTGTAATTTAAATAATGGTTGTTTCAGCCAATGGTAATTTAAATCATGGTAGTTTTAACCAATGGTAATTTAAATAATGGTAGTTTGAACCAATGGTAATTTAAATAATGGTAGTTTGAACCAATGGTAATTTAAATAATGGTAGTTTGAACCAATGGTAATTTAATCAAATGAAGGTTGTAACCAATAGTAGTTTTAACTCAAACTACCATTATTTAAAAACAATTGTAATTTAAATCATGGTAGTTTCAGCCAATGGTAATTTAAATAATGGTAGTTTGAGCCAGTGTTAATTTAAATAATGGTAGTTTGAGCCAGTGTTAATTTAAAATTTTAAATAATGGTAGTTTGAATCAATAGTAATTTAAATCATGGTAGTTTTAACTAATAATTTTTTTCCTAATGGTAACAAACTAATGGTAATGGTAACAAATAATAAAAACCAGAAATAAAATTTTTTAACAATTTTTATTACAATTAACCGGTAAATTACATGTACGCAATGATAACGTTTCAAATAGTATAAAAGCGATTTTATTTCTTTTTCCCCCCCCCCCATTTTTTTTTCTTGTCCAAACTGCAATAATACTATTTTCAAGAAAATATTTTTATTATCCCGTAGAAAGTTGAGAATTGGCAGAAAAACAAAAATAAATAAATAACGATGGTGTAAGGTGTGTGAAACGTGCAAACAAAAAAAAAAGAACTCGAGAGCAATTATTAAATTCCTGTTAAAATCGGAGAAGCGATTATTATAAAAATTCGCTTTTATAAATCATAGAAGAAATGAGGTTATTGTATTTTCTCTTATTATTTTTTTTTCGATTTTATTTATTGCAATCGATGTCTTTCAGGATAATTATTATTAAGAGTGAGAGAGAGAGAGAGAAAAAAAAGAATGAGTGATAAAAATGAGAATTTCATTGAAAACAAACGTGTATAATAATTATTGTTAAAGGCGATTGAAATGATTTCTTCAGATCGGCACGAGAGGTGATCGTAGGCGTGAAGGCCGATTCTTGTCTGATTAAGAAAAATTTAAGCAAGCTTCCTTCCTGCCATCATCGATTTTTGCCACACTCATTGAGAATTGAAAATAATTTTTTTTGTACTTTTTGAATTATTAATTTTTTTAATAATTATATGTTTATCTATTTTTTTTAACATTGAATAATATTATTTAATAGTATTATTTATTAATATTATATTAATTAATATTATTTCGATTTATTTCTATGGTAGTTTGAACCAAAAATATTTTGAACCAATGGTGAAACCATTGGTTCAAAATATTTTTGGTTTACACTACCATTGTTTCAAACTTTCTTTGATTAAAACCACCAATGATTCAAACTACAATTAGTTAAAACTATCATTTGTTCAAACTACTGATGGTTCAAACTACAATTGGCCTTAATTACCATTGGTTCAAAGTACCATTTGTTTAAACTACAATTAGTTCAAACTATTATTGGTTTAAACTACAATTAGTAGAAACTACAATTGGTTTAAACTACAATTGGTTTAAACTACAATTAATTAAAACTATAATTGGTTCAAACTACAAATAGTTTAAACCAATTGTAGTTTAAGCCAATTGTAGTTTAAACTAGTTGTAGTTTAAAGTACAATTAGTTGAAACTACAATTGGTATAAAATACAATTGGTTTAAACTACAAGTAGTCCAAGCTACTATTAGTTTAAACTACCATTCGTTAAACTACCATTGGTTCAAGTTACCATTTGTTTAAGTTACCATTCGTTCAAATTAAAATTGATTTAAGTCACCATTGGTTCAAATAACCAGTGCCTTAATTTATTATTTAAAATTAGTTCCAACTCTCTAGCAGCAAACACTAAACTTAGTTAAAAGTATCAAAAGTTAAAATAAAATTACCAATAAATAATAGTGGTGAAAATTAAAATTAGTTGAAACTACGAATAGTAAATTTTACATTTCGTAAAAATTCCTTTTTTTGCAAACCAAAAAAAATGGCAAGAAATTTATGAAAATACTTCCTGCACGAGACGGTAACAATTTTTTTGCCTCCTTTTCCTTTCCTGTTTTTAGAAAAAAACAAAAATACTTTTGCATAAATTGCTGTTCATTGATTGTTTGACTTTTACATTAAAATAAATATTATTATCATCAACCGTCGCCAATTACTAACTTTTTCGCGATAATGAGTGACAGTGAAAGCATTCAACTGTTCAAGAATAATTTCTTTTCTCAAACACGCCTATATAGATATTGAAGAGGAGAGAGAGACAAAAATATACTGTTTTCCATGTTTCCGGAACTTTTCTAAAAAAAGGATAACTTGTGATGATGATGATTGTTGTCTGAAAGTTTTATTCTTTTCTTTTTATCTCACAAATTACTTCTTTTAAAATATACACTAGAGTTAATATATTTTCAATTTTGCTATAGAATTAAAATTGTTAAATTCGCATAATCATAATAATGAAAGTGTATTTATTATTGTTTCTTTTTAATATTCCCATTTTGTTTTATTGTTTTTTAATTATTACTATTTGGGTTTATTATTTTTTTCCAATTATTATTTTTTTACACTTTGATCATAGCCAGAGAAGTGATAATTATTACTAGGTTTATTATTTTTTTTTTAAAAGTGTTTCATCAAAAGGTGATGGAAAAATGTCAGAAATGACTGATTGAAATTTTACGAGATTTTTTTTGTCTTTTTTTTCTTTTTCTTTTTTTTTGTAGTATAACAAAGCACGAAAGTGAAAAGAATAAATGTTCCATTTTACGAAATTAATGGCTTTCTATCTCGAGTGTACATATTATTATGTCACATACGGGATGTTGTCTTCTTGGCCTATCGCTTCCGTAACTATATAGCAAGAACTGCCGACGACATGTAATGAATTAAAATGCTTTTTGTTTCGTAATGAATACGTATATCTTATTGTTGGCAAAACGTTTACACATTACTTGGAAAATCACTTGTGTTTGCCAGTGATAAAAAAAAACTTTCTTTTTTCGTTTCGAATTCTTTTTTTCCTATTCTTTTCTTTTTATTTTATAGTTTAACTGTTAGTTGCGACAAGTGAGAATCAATTATTTAGTGGAAGTGTTATTCAACCAAATGATATTCTTAGGAAATTATTATTTTATAGCCGAAAAGATTTTTCTATCGTATTTTTATTTTAAAGAAAATATATTTTTATAGAAATTTTTTTTTCATTGACGAAAAATTAATTTAACTGGATTTTTGCTTGAATGAAATTTTAATCTAGCTGGATTTTTATTTAATTGAATTTTTATTTAACTGGATTTTTATTTAGCTGCATTTTCATTATAAGTATATTTTTATTCAATTGACTTTTTATTTGATTAAAATCTTTTCTAGCTAAATTTTTATTAAATTGGATTTTTATTTAACTGAATTTCTATTTAGTAGAATTTTTATTGAACTGAAATTTTATTACCCTGAATTTTTAGGGAAATTTTTATTCAATGTTTATTTAACTGAATTTGATTTAGATGGATTTTTATTTAAATGGATTTTTATTGAGCTAAATTTTTATCCATCTGAAATTCTTAATTGAATTTTTATTTATCTTAAATTTTATTGAGCTAAATTGTTATTGAATTAAATTATTATTCATCTGTATTTCTATTTAACTGGATTTTTATTTAATTGAATTATTATTTGGCTTAATTTTCATTAAGCTAAATTTTTATTCAATTGAAATTTTTTATCAAAATAATTTTTATTCAGCTAGATTTTTATTAAACTGGATTATTATTTAACTGATTTTTAATTCAATGAAACTTTTATTTATCTGAATTTTTATTCAATTTAATTTTTATCAGGCAGAATTTTTTATTAAGCAGAATTTTTATTCAGCGAAATAGAAATTCTCAAAAAGTATATTTCTTGAAATAAAAATTTTATCAATAGAAAATTTTTAGTCTGTAAAAAAATAATCAAATAATAAAATTTAATTAAACAGTAATAAATAGAAAAATGCAAAATAAAAATTTAGTAAAGAAGAAATTGTCTTGAATGAAAATTGGAAAAAATTTCGGTTCAAAAAACTTTGTAAGTAAATAATTTTTATTTTCTGTCATAGATTTAAAAAGGAGGGAAAAAAAATTTGCAAATCAAAATATTCTTTTTATTTAACCATTAATTTTGTATTTTCGCAAGAAAAAAAAAATTTTTAGCATATAGGATTATGAAATATGACTTGAAAGCTAAATTTTTTTTTCCACCACACTCGCAACGGTTGTTTTATGCATCCACAGCTGTTAGTAATATTATTTATCACTGACAGGTGGCACAAACTTGTGGGCTTTTATATTAACCAGTGAGAATTAATCTTCAGGAAATAGTTGAATATACATTCTTGATCCATGTATTTTTTCATTTTAATAATTTTTGGCAAATTTTTAATTTTTTAAAATTTACTCATGCAGTAGGAAAAACATTATAATTTAAGAAAAATTAATTACCATATTTGAAAAAATTTAAGGAAAATTAATTTTTATTTGAAAACAAAAAAAATTTATTTTCATTTGAAATTATTCCATTTTCCATTTAAAAAAAAAAACCCCCAAAGAAATTATTTTCATTAAGAAAAAGTAATAAAATGTAATTAATTTTTTTTCTCTAATTTCAGGTGCACTAGGAGGTCAATGTGGATATCCAGGAGCACCAGCACACAGTAGTATTCGGTTTTCATTTGCCGATATTGACGATGCAATTGATGAAGAGGAAATTTCATTAAGGGATTATTATCAAACGAGTACAATAGCAACGTATTATTGTGATAGGGGATTTGAACTTCTTGGACCAGCTAGAAGACAATGCCAGGCCGATGGAACCTGGACACCGGAAGGCGTGCCATTTTGCGGTAAATATTTTTAAAAATACTGAAATTTTTTATTAACAATAAATCGCTGAATATAAAAATTAAATCAAAATTGGTAGAAATAAATATTTTTTACAAAATAAAAAAAATATTATTTTTATGGAAAAAACAATTAGTTAAAACTACGATTAGTTAAAACGACAATTAGTCAAGACTACAATAAATTACAAGTACAATTAGTTAAAAAAATAACTACAATTATTTGAAATTGTAATCAGTTAAAACTACAATTTCTTGAAATAACAATTAGTTAAGTTTACAATTAGTTAAAACTATAATTATTTAAAACTATAATTAGTTAATACTTAATACTTTAGTTAATTGAAAATTAAGTTAATTGAAAAAATGTTTAATTAAAATTACTTGTATTTCCAATTAGCTAAAATTAAAATTATTTGAATTTACAATTAGTTTAAATTAAAATTACTTAGATTTGCAATTAGTTGAAAAATTAAAATTACTCGAATTTACAATTAGTCGAAATTAAAATTTTAATGAGTTGAAAATATTTATCAAAACCACAAATGATTCCCGAAGACGAAATAAAATATGTTTATTAATTTGTCTAACGAATTAGCGAACAATTAAATAAACATTATTTCTTAATTGTTTAATTAGTAAAAACTAAAAATTAAAAATTCATTGAACTTGTTTTCTTTTCTGATTACGTAAATTACAAACAGGATATTTAACTATTCTAACTGTTTTTTCTCTCCTTCTTTTTTGACATTTTTTTTTCTTTAAAAACTAGTTACAAATTAAACATTTTAATAAGTATGTTAATATATATATTTAATATACTTTCTATTTTCCTTTCAATTATATCTACATTCTCAAAAAAGCAAATCTTAGTTTATATTTTTAATGAATTTTTTTTAAAAACTAAATAGCGATATTGCCTAGAGTCATGTTTTAGCAATTATTTATTATTATTTCCGTTTATATGTATCTTTTTAGGACAGTTTTTTCTTTTCATTTTTTTTTTATTAATAAAATGTCGTTCAAGGTAACCCAGTTTTATAAGGTAAATGATACTTTCAAGTTTAGAATTTTGAATTCCTTTTTATGTGTCGTGCTCTTATTTTGTAATTAAAAAAATTATTTTACAGTAAAATGCACTTTCTAGATAATTTTCATTATTTATAATATCATAATTTTCATATTATTACCAAATTTTGATTTGCTGTTTTGATTAGTTTGTCTTATTTTATCCATTATATTCATTATATCTATTGTATCTATTTTATTTTTTCATTATTTTTTTTATTTTTTATTTATATGTAATATCTAAACGAGCCAGAAATAAAAAACGCCTCTTTATTTTAATATTTTATTCTAATATCTGCAAGCATTTTTTATTTTTGTAAAACTATTATCATTTCGTTTAAAAAAAAAAAAAAAAATTATAATTAATCACTTTTGTATAAAATGTAATTATACGAAAAATTACATTTGAATGATGTTTTAATTTTCTTTCTCTTTTTTCTGAGACAAGAGAAAATGGAGAATTTACAATGCCAAGTTTAAGGGATAAAAAAAGAGCGAAATTATAATATATTTAACAAAATGGGAGAAATTATTGTAAGATGCTAACAATTTAATGTCAATCTTTAGAATAATAAAATGAGGCCGGAAGTTGTTGTTGGTTATAAAAGGAGAGCAATTTTATTATAGACTTAGAACATATTCTTTTATTGCAATAACTTATTGTTCCCTTTCTTTTGCCATTTTTTTTCTTTTTTTTTGTCCTCTCTTTTTCAGTTCGTTGGAAGTTACTTTTTAAATGTCAATGTCACAAAACATTAACTTTCTCTCTATTTTTGTGTTTTTACTTTTGCATTTATGTTTTTATTTTTGTATTTGTATCTCTATTTTTGTGTTTTTATTTGTATTTTTGTATTTTTATTTGTAATTTTCTATTTTTATTGGTATTTTTGTTTTTTAATCATACTTTTTTTTATTTGCATTTTTGTATTTTACTTCTATTTTTGTTTGTATATTTGTATGTGTTTTTCTTTTTGGATTTTTGTTTGTATTTTTGTAATTTTATTTGCATTTTTGTATTTTACTTCCATTTTTGTTTGTGTATTTGTGTTTGTTTAGTATTTAAGAATGGTTCAAACTACCATTGGTTCCAGTAGTGTTGATTCAAAAACCAATTGTTCAAACTACCATTGGTACCAGAATTTTTGGTTCAAAATATCATTAATTTAAATTACCATTGGTTCAAACTATAATCAGTTCAAACTAGCATTGGTTAAAACTACCATTGGCTTAAATTACCATTGGTTCTAAGTACCGTAAGTTCAAACTACCATTGTTTCAAATTATCATTGGTTCAAACTACCATTGTTTCAAATTATCATTATTGGTTCAAATTACATTGTTTCAAATTACATTTGTTTCGAATTATTAATTATTATTGGTTCAAATCATTATTGATTCAAATTATTATTGGTTCAAATTATTATTGGCTCAAATTACCACAAGCTCTAATTACCATTGGTTCAAACTACCATTATTTGAAATTATTATCAGTTCAAGCTGCCATTATTTGATTTTTCGAATCAATGAAGATTTAATTAGCTCCTAAAACTAATTATTACACTAATTAGGAGATGGTACATACCATCTCCTAAAACTGGAAACCATCAATTAAAACTAAGAATTTCTTCCCCAAACTCTGCCCATATTTGAATTGTAAATTTCTAAAAATATTTCTCAAATTCATCCTTTACCGTTAGGCATTAGAGGTGAAGGAATTTTTTTTTTCAAAATATGTAAATTATCCATATATTAATCAGGCATATAGCACACCTGTCGAATGTGTCCCAGACTCACATTTTGTGTGTATGTGTCTGTGTTTGTGTGTATAATATTCGAAATACACTCACCATCACATTGATTCGATGGTGTGTGGAGTTTCGGTGGAGCCCGTGACCCAATTTCTAGTGTCCTTGACCGAGGAGGCCAAAGACAGTTGGAAGTCAGAGAGAAGAGTACAAGTTGAGAGTTATAATGGTGTGTGGTGGGAGTGAAATACCGTTAACACTGAACCTGTTACCGCCATTGGATATATATTGCCTCTGGCAACATTGAGGGAATACACTCTTGCATACATACACACAACTATAAGTATATAGTGTGCCAACCTACTGCACATTCCTTACGGACGCTTTCGTTCACCTAGGCTGTATGGTTTGTACTCCGCCTCAATGGTTATATAGACGATTCATGCGTTTCATATGCACGTCTCCCCGGGTCGAAAAACGTGGGAATCGAGAGGAGAAATGACGTTCTTGTATTGATATTGTGAGACGTCTCAATCATTTTTTTATACGTTACACTTGTCATTGTACAACAAAAAACGAAAATTAATACAATAAAAAATAATTCTTTGTTGCAGTATCATTATATTTATAATGGTACCACTAGTAGTATTTTTGTACCACTAGTAGTTTGAACCAATAATAATTTGAACCAATGGTGGTTTTAATCAATGGTAATTTAAACTAATGATAGTTTGAAACAATGGTACTTTGAACCAATAGTAGTTTGAACAATGGTACTTTGAACCAATGGTAATTAAGACGAATGGTAGTTTGAACCAATAGTAGTTTGAACAAACGATAGTTTTAAATAATTGTATTTTGAATCAATAATGGTTTAAATCAAAGAAAGTTTAAAACAATGGTAGTTTGAATCAAAAATATTTTGAACCAATGGTGAAACCATTGGTTCAAAACATTTTTGATTCAAACTACCATTGTTTTAAACTTTCATTTATTCTATCAAACTAACATTGCTTTAAGTTACCACTGATTAATACCACTATTGATTAAAAATATTATTGATTAAAATTTAAAATTACCATTGGTACAAACTAAGCCTATGGTAATCCAAACCAATTTTATTTTTATACCAATTACAGAATAAACCACAAGTAGTTTGAATGAATATTTTTTACCAATAGTGTTCCAAACCAATAAAACTTTGAACCAATGGCAATTTAAGCCTATGATAGTTTGAACCAATGGTGATTTCAAGCATTGGATCAAAGTACTATTAGTTGAAATCACCATTGGTAAAAAAAATATTATTGATTCAAACTACAAGTGGTTCAACCAACTATTGGTTTAAATTACCACTGATTATAATCATCATTGGTTTAAAATCTTTGTAACGGTTCGTTTTTTATAACCTTTAATTTCATAGAAAATTAGGTACCCAAGGTTGAGAAATAAATTAGAGACATTTAATTAAATTTATTAATTAATTATTTATTAAAAAACAACCTATGCTAATTACAGATTTTCTCCCTATTCTAATTACGACGTTCTAAAGTGCAATAATAGTAACAATTATGATATTGGAATTATTTTGACGATTCATAACAATATATATATATTTTAATATCAATTAAGTTCATTTTAATTTCCTAAAATCGAATATAATTTTAGTCAGTCCTATAGGATATTAATTATAATATCGCGCTGAAAATTAAGATCACACGTTTTCTGAGAAGCTACATGTATTTAATCTTAAAAGAGTTGTGCTACAGAGGTGTAATTAAACTTGTAAATTTAATGGATATGTAGACGATGCGTTTTCAATGAAGCTGCGCATTTATATGTCTAAATTTAAATAAGTATAATACAGAGATACAATACTTGTATTAACTTGGTTTTTTGAGATCATACGTTTTCTGAGAAGCTGCGTATAAAAGATCTCTTAAAAAGAAAGAATTGCATAGAGGTTTAATTTAACATATACAGAACTCATATAAATTGTATATACACTTTCTAAGAAATTATGTAATTTTTATCAATCTATATTGAGGGTTAAAGAAATGCATCTAATTCGTAAAATCAATGCATTTACTTTAGAATTGCGACGACACGACTTACGGATATGTATTTAAATGGAATTTACTCCTACAGAGGTGTAGCTAACTTGTAATTAGAGCAAACCGAGATAAATCAAAAGAAAATACTAGAGATTTATATAAAAAAAATATATTCTATTGCGAGGGCTTAGCTGGCTGATCTCGCGAATATATATGTGATGCTGGTGAGAAGCACCAGGATAAAAAATAAGAAAAAGGGTAAGATTCTAAGTTACGAAAAAATACGATCTATAATAGCCTGGGGTAGCGTACATTATAGAAAGGGATGGCAGTATACGAATATATAAGGGTAAAACCTAACACACGTATTGAGCATCTAATACTCGACGAGAGAGTATTAGAAGAAATTTCCAGCAGCCGAGGTGGCGTTCATTGGAAAGAGAGAGAAAAAAGATTCAGCAGCCGAGGTGGCGTACACTGTAATAATCAAATGCATATACTCGAGCCGAGGTGGCGTACCGAATGATATACAGTATACTCACTATGCTGCTTTCTAGTAGTCGACTTCTCTAGGCTCCCCTCTCCTTCTGGCTGCTTGGCTCTCTGTATAACCGCTTGGCTCTCTGCACAGGTGCTTGGCTCTCCACACACGTTCGTCTCAGCAAAGGTACATTCGTACTTATACCAGTGTAAATTCGTTCGTATGAGCTGCGATATTTCACTGCCCGGCTCGCGTATTTATATTATTGGTACGCAAGGTTGTATTTGAGAGAGGTCAATAGAAATGTAATAATTGACATCTCTTATTTAATTTTGGAATTAATATTTAAATTCTCACCTTTAATGTATTTAGGGTTTACTTTTCACAGGGGTTCATTGGTTTCTTTAATTTAATATATTAATTTATATTAATATACTGTTTAATAAATTATTAATATTTAATTAATTATTATTATATTCAATATTTATATGTGTATATAAGGCGTTTAAATTGAACCCTTACATAGCCCCCCTGTTTTCTTTGGTTTTTTAGTTCGGATTGTTAAAATTAAAGAAAACTAAGATTCGTTTATATCAAATATTGAATTATGATTTATTATTGTTTATATCACAATACATGTTTTCAATTTCGATTTTTTCTGTGTCTGATATATCTAATATAATGCTTTCGTCGTTTGTTTGGGTGTTGGTTGTGTTTTTAGTGTTTTGTGTCTTTATTTGTTTGTCTTTGTGGTATTGTGCCAAGATTAATGGGAGACAAACGGGGTTGATTTTAACTTTTTGAATCTTTCTAATTGTTGGTTTTTGTATTGGTTTTTGTAGATGTTTATTTCTATAGAGTTTTACTATATTAGCAAAATTACTTGGATCCATTGGATCAATGCCTACATTCTTCATAATAGGAATTTCTATTTTTGGATTTGGATCTGTTTCTACGGGGCTCACTTTGTAGTTCTTCCTGCGAGTTGCCTTCTTTTTTTTTGGTGTGATGGTTCTTGGTCTGCAGGTCATGATCTTGTGTTCTGCCTTTTTTACTCTTATGAAAAATGGTCTAGCCAAATTGGCTTGAAGGCATACGTCTCGCTGTTCAATGAATGGCCTAGGTAGAGTTTGTGTAGATGAGTTTTTTGTTTCCATGACTAAAAAAAAATAAAACAATTTTATATTTTTAGTTGGAATCTTTTAGTTTCATTTCGGGGTTGAGATAATATAGTTTTAGATCTTGATGATGGAATTTTCCCCTAATAGTGTCTTTGGTAGGATGTTTTAGAATATATGAGGATGAGTTTAATATTTCTTTGATTGTGTAAGGGCCTTCGTATACTGCCATAAACTTGGAACTTCTTTTTAATAATTTGTCTGACAAATTGAAAGCCTTGATAAGAACTAAATCTCCTTTTTTATATGGTTCATTTAATTTCATTTTTTGGTTTTTGATTTTATTTTTTGAAATTTTATTATTAAATGCATCTTTACATAGCATTAATCTGTGATTTAAACTCAGGGTTTTGTTTGTAAGGTATTTTGGAATATATGATTCCCAGAATCTACATGGTTTTTTATTTAAATGGATTTCGATTGGGGTATATCCGGTTAAGTCGTGATGTATTTCATTTAGTATTTTTTCTATTATTGGTAATTTGTCATACCAACAGGAGTGATTTATATCTTTTAGAATTATTCTTAAAAATTTTGATATTTCTCTATTTGTTCTTTCGACTATGTTTGATTGTGGGTGTCTAACTGAGGTCAATGTATGCTTAATATTTTCTGAATTTAATTTTGTAGTCCAGATATTGGTTGTGAATTGTGTACCGTGATCTGTTACTATTCGCGTTGGTTTTCCGTATTTGGGGAAATAATCTTGGAATAATTTATTAATTGTTGCTTCTGTAGTTTGTTTGCGTAGTGGATATAATTTTACGAATTTAGAAAATCCATCTAATACAACTAATATGTAACGATTTCCTAATTTTGAGGTTGGTAGAGGTCCGTAGAAATCTATGAATATTACTTCTCTTGGTTTATTAATCATTATTGTTTGAGTTTCAATGACTGATTTCTTATTGGTGATTTTATTACGTTGACAAGTATCACAAGAACGTGTATATTCTTTTATTCTTCGTAAAAGATTTTTAATGTAAAAATCTTCATTCAACATCAATTGGCATTTTTTTGCGCCTATATGTGCATAGATTTCATGACAATTTTTAATTAATAATTTTACTAATTTTTCTGGTATATATATTTTCCATTGTTTATTACAATTTTTGAATAATACATTTTCGAATAGTTTATATTTTATATTATCTATTTGTTTTTTGAGTATTGTTTTTAAGTTTTGGTCGTTTTCTTGATATTCAATAAGTTTACCTAATTCAATTTTAGTATATTGATTAATGTTTCTCGCTAGTGTATTAAGACATATTCTATTTTCTTGATTTTGATTTACGCATATATGATTACTGGTGTAACGACTTAGTGCGTCTGCTGCTGTGTTACTACTTCCCGTACAGTGTTCTACTTGGATGTCATAGTCTTGTATCGCGAGGGTCCATCTCATGAGTCTCCCACTTAACCATTTACATGAACGGAGGAAAGTTAGTGCTGCGTGATCGGTTATATGTATTATTTTTGTTCCGAGTAGTAAGTCCCTAAATTTAGTCAGGATCCATACTAATGCTAACAATTCTTTTTCAGTAGTATTGTATGATATTTCTGCTTTTCTTAGTGTCCTACTTGCGCATGTAATAACACGGGGTGAAAAATCTTCGTCTAATTGATATATAATTACGCCTAATGCATAATCGCTTGCATCGCTTTGTATATAAAAGGTTTTATTCATATCTGGGTAGTGAAGTCTTACATTATTTTTGAATAAATCTTTTACGGTATTGAAAGCTAGTTCATGTTCCCTTTTCCATTCCCATTTTTGTCCCTTTTTTAGTAATTCGAGTAGGGGTTTTAGTTCTTTTGCTACACTACTACTAAATTTGGCACTAAAATTTATAACTCCTAAAAAACCTTGTAATTGTTTTTTATTAATTGGTGTTAAGTAATCATGTATTCCCTGAATTTTACTGGGGTCTTGTTTTATTCCCTTTTCGGATATTATATGTCCTAAAAATTTAGTTTCTTTTTTCTTGAATTCACATTTCGAGAAATTTAAGGTGATATTATGTTCTTGAAGTCTTTGAAAAATATTTTCTAAATCTTGTAGGTGTTCTTCTTCGAATTCGGAAACTACTAATAAGTCGTCTACATATATAATAACGCAATGTGATAATCCTTCTAAAACCTTATCTAGACCTCTTACTAATGCTGCTGTACTTGTCTTGAGACCAAATGGTGTGACATTATGTTGATAGCATTTTCCTTTATACAGGAATGCGGTATGTTTTTTCGATTCTTCTTTAAGTGGGATTTGCCAAAAGCTCATATTCATGTCCAAATGGGTGAAGTATTTTTTGCCGGTACATCTCTGCAACAAGGTTTCAATTTTCTCTGTTCCTTCGTGGTCTTCTTCTAAAATGGTGTTAAGATTTCTTGCATCCAAGCATAATCTGATTTTTCCATCTTTCTTTATCACAGGTACTAAAGGGTTGATTTTAGCACATTCAGCTCTTCTTATTATTTTCCACTCAATCATTTGCTTCAGAGTAATCTCGATTTCTTTTTCTAGTTTTATAGGTAATGAATATGTTCGTGATTTCATCTCGACGCCATCTTTAATTTTGAGTTCGTGTTCATAACACGATATCAATCCGGGTTTTTTGACGAATATTTTTTTGTATTTCCATAAGAGATCTTTGTATGCCTTTTGCATATGTGCAGGAATCATCGTGTTATTTTCAACTACGTTTGATATTATCTTTTGTGTGAAATCCGGGTATTCCTTGAATTCTGTTGCGTTTATCTTAACTGGATTATTAATTTCATTGTTATCATATTTTTCGTCACACTCGTTTTCTTCGATAAATTGTATTGGGGTTTCTATTTTGTTGTTTTTTAACACTAATTCATCAGTTTGAAGATCCAAGGTACAATTTTGCTCTTTTAGAAAGTCGATGCCTAATATACATTGTTGTAACAAACACGGTATTACGAACACGATTTGTTTATATTTTTCTCCTTTTATTTCTAGTTCTATATATATTTGCTTCCTTACTTTAATAGGTCTACCTCCCGTGGCTCCTACAGCACTAACGTTTACCAACGGTAAGCTCTCACATTTTTTGAATTTTTCCATATTTATATACATAAAATTTTCTGAAATACATGAGATCTGACTACCACTATCTACTAATGCTCTTACAGGTATTCCTTGTACATTGACTTTAATTCTTGGACATGATGTTTTAGTTTTTAATTTTAGTTCATCTTCTAAAAATTCTTCCCTCCATTGAAAAGTATTTATTATTGTTACCGAGTCTCCTGTATTATTTTCCGTTTTTGTTATTTGTTGAAATACAGGGAAAATTAGTTTTCCGATTCTTCCTTTTGGGTTTCTTCTTCAACTTCTTCTTCTTTAATTTCTTCCGTTGTTAGGCTACGAATGTTGTAAGAATTTTTGTTGCTATTGAATTTTGGTTTTTCACTTGTTCTCCAATGGTCCTGTTGTTTGATTTCCTTTTTTATCGTATTTCCTCTGTCCGAATCTATTTTCTTATTTTTCCAAGAATCATTATTCCTTTTCGAATTAATAGGTCCTGCTCTATCTAGTGTTTCTAGTAATTCTAGTAACTCTTCTAAGTCTATTATTGACCTAGTGATTATACATAATCTTATCTCTTCACTAAAGTGTCTAGATAATTTCTTTATTATATCCGCTATTAATAGTGAGGGTTCTAAATATCTTGCTTCTTGAAATAGTTTGAGAGTGTATGATACCATCGAGTTGTCTTCTTTTGAGTTGAAGTGTCCAAATTCTAATTTACTTCTTATATCGTGTTGAATATTTTCTCCCCAGAATCTTCTTTTAAATTTTAAAGAAAATTCATTGAAACCGTCGTTTTGATTTTTGACTAAGTCCCACCAATCACGAGTTGATCCTTTTAAACAGTTGTTTAATATATATGGTATTTCATCTTTCCTTGGTTTGGTTAATTTCCAGAAGTCTTTCAATTCTTCTAAAAATTTCATTGGAGATGTTCCCTCTACATAACATGGTGTTTTTGAGTTAAACCTAAAAGGACAAGAGTATGATCCTTCGTTTCTTTTTGGTGAGTCGGATAGAAAATTATTATCTTCTAGGATTTTTATTCTATCTTCAGCTTTAGTTTGTTTCGACGATAATTTCTTGATTTCTTTATCACTCAATTGTAGCAATTTTTCATTTTGTAGGATCGCGGTGGCAAACGTATTTTCCATTCTATCTTCGATTACATCTATCCTAGTATCGGTGTTACTTTTTAGTGATGCTACTTGTTCGTTGATTTCGGCCTGTAATCGAATTTCAGCATCTTCGATTTCTTCGCGGAGTTGTATTTTTGAGTTATCTACTTTCATGTCTATGGAGTTGCACCAATCCCTAAAGGTTTTATGCTCGCGTTTTAGATTTTCTGTAATTAATTTTAATTTTTTGATTTCTTTATCGAATTCACTTTCTTCAGCTTTTCGTAATTCATTTTCGAGTGAATTTCCAGGCATTGTTTCTTTTGTGGTTTGTACTTTAGTGCTTTCTTTATATATATTATAATCTCCTACATTTAGTGGATTCTCGCTGACTGGTTCAGTTGTTGCATCCGGTACAGGTTCAAATACTTCTCGCAAATCAATTATCGAATCTATGTTATTTAAAACTTTACGTCTCCTACCTCTTTTAGATGTTGTACTCGACATATTTAATTTTTTAGTCTCTTTTTATAATTTTACTTTTTAAATTACCTTGGGTCCTGTCACGGTCGCCAGTTGTAACGGTTCGTTTTTTATAACCTTTAATTTCATAGAAAATTAGGTACCCAAGGTTGAGAAATAAATTAGAGACATTTAATTAAATTTATTAATTAATTATTTATTAAAAAACAACCTATGCTAATTACAGATTTTCTCCCTATTCTAATTACGACGTTCTAAAGTGCAATAATAGTAACAATTATGATATTGGAATTATTTTGACGATTCATAACAATATATATATATTTTAATATCAATTAAGTTCATTTTAATTTCCTAAAATCGAATATAATTTTAGTCAGTCCTATAGGATATTAATTATAATATCGCGCTGAAAATTAAGATCACACGTTTTCTGAGAAGCTACATGTATTTAATCTTAAAAGAGTTGTGCTACAGAGGTGTAATTAAACTTGTAAATTTAATGGATATGTAGACGATGCGTTTTCAATGAAGCTGCGCATTTATATGTCTAAATTTAAATAAGTATAATACAGAGATACAATACTTGTATTAACTTGGTTTTTTGAGATCATACGTTTTCTGAGAAGCTGCGTATAAAAGATCTCTTAAAAAGAAAGAATTGCATAGAGGTTTAATTTAACATATACAGAACTCATATAAATTGTATATACACTTTCTAAGAAATTATGTAATTTTTATCAATCTATATTGAGGGTTAAAGAAATGCATCTAATTCGTAAAATCAATGCATTTACTTTAGAATTGCGACGACACGACTTACGGATATGTATTTAAATGGAATTTACTCCTACAGAGGTGTAGCTAACTTGTAATTAGAGCAAACCGAGATAAATCAAAAGAAAATACTAGAGATTTATATAAAAAAAATATATTCTATTGCGAGGGCTTAGCTGGCTGATCTCGTGAATATATATGTGATGCTGGTGAGAAGCACCAGGATAAAAAATAAGAAAAAGGGTAAGATTCTAAGTTACGAAAAAATACGATCTATAATAGCCTGGGGTAGCGTACATTATAGAAAGGGATGGCAGTATACGAATATATAAGGGTAAAACCTAACACACGTATTGAGCATCTAATACTCGACGAGAGAGTATTAGAAGAAATTTCCAGCAGCCGAGGTGGCGTTCATTGGAAAGAGAGAGAAAAAAGATTCAGCAGCCGAGGTGGCGTACACTGTAATAATCAAATGCATATACTCGAGCCGAGGTGGCGTACCGAATGATATACAGTATACTCACTATGCTGCTTTCTAGTAGTCGACTTCTCTAGGCTCCCCTCTCCTTCTGGCTGCTTGGCTCTCTGTATAACCGCTTGGCTCTCTGCACAGGTGCTTGGCTCTCCACACACGTTCGTCTCAGCAAAGGTACATTCGTACTTATACCAGTGTAAATTCGTTCGTATGAGCTGCGATATTTCACTGCCCGGCTCGCGTATTTATATTATTGGTACGCAAGGTTGTATTTGAGAGAGGTCAATAGAAATGTAATAATTGACATCTCTTATTTAATTTTGGAATTAATATTTAAATTCTCACCTTTAATGTATTTAGGGTTTACTTTTCACAGGGGTTCATTGGTTTCTTTAATTTAATATATTAATTTATATTAATATACTGTTTAATAAATTATTAATATTTAATTAATTATTATTATATTCAATATTTATATGTGTATATAAGGCGTTTAAATTGAACCCTTACATCTTATTGATTCAAAATACAAGTGATTCAAACTACCATTCGTTCAAATTACCATTGGCTTAAATTATTTAATGATTCAAACTACAATTAGTTTAAATTACCATTGGCTTAAATTATTTATTGATTCAAACTACCATTGATTTAAATTATTTATTGATTCAAACTACCATTGATTTAAATTACTCATTGATTCAAACTACAATTGGTTTAAATTACCATTGGCTTAAATTATTTATTGATTCAAACTACCATTGATTCAAACTACCATTGATTTAAATTATTCATTGATTCAATCTACCATTGGTTTAAATTATCAATGGCTTAAATTATTTATTGATTCAAACTACCATTGGTTGAAATTATTATTGTTCCAAACTAAGCCTTTGGTAATGTAAACAAATCTTAGTTTGAATCATTGGTTATTTAAACTAATGGTAGTTTAAACCAATTGTAGTTTGAACCAATAGTAGTTTAAATCAATAATATTTTCTACCAATGGTGGTTTTAGCGAATAGCATAAATTTGTTAAAAGTTAAATCAATGGTAATTTAAACCAATGATAGTTTGAACCAATGGTACTTTGAACCAATGGTAATTTAGGCCAATGGTAGTTTGAACAAGTGATAGTTTACACTAATTGTAGTTTGAATCAATGGTGGCTTTAATCAAAGTTGGTTTGAAACAATGGTCGTTTGAACCAAAAACATTTTATTAATAGTAAATTTTTAATTGTAAATTCTTTATAGTAGATTTTGTAATAGTAAATTTTGTAATAGTAAATTTTGTAATAGTAAATTTTTTACAGTAAATTTTGTAATAGTAAATCACTGGTAGTTCGTACTATTAGTATTACCTTCAACAAATATTTTCTTTTTCAATAAATAGTACTTTGAATGAATGATTTTTTTTTCACCCAAAATAATTATAAACAATTGCTGTTGGAATTAAATTGTTGGCTTCAATCAATGGTTGGTTAACTTAAACAAAAGTGGAGTAAGCATGTGTGACTGTAAGTCACAATGAGTGCCATTGCGTATTTTGTGCAATTATACCTCGGAGTGGGCAATTAACAAATAACGTCGTAAACACATGCAATTGTTACTTAATCTCTCATTGCTTTTACCGAAACGTAAATTTCAATTATTTATTTATTTATTCATCAGAAAATCATTCAGAATTTTTTTTTATGAAAGAAGAAAATAATAATTCATGTAAATTAAAATTATTAATTTAATAACGAAATTGTGCATCATTCGTAACTATTATTTTGCGTTGGTTAATAGCAAAATCTTGGCTAATTTATAATTTAAATGTGAATACGTAATTTATTGCTAATACTGTTTTTTTTATTAAAAGTATTTTTTAGTTATTTATTATTTCTGTTCTTAATTTTTCCCACTGATTTTTAGTATTTTATTTTTTCTTACATTTATCGTTTTATTTTTCTACAATTTCTTATGATTTGTATAAACTCTTTTCTGGTATTTTGGTTTCTTACAACTTTTCAGTTTTTTATTTTCTTGGTTATTTATTATTTTATCAAGTCACCATTGTTTTCGAGTTATTTGGGTTTAAATTTAAATTAAATTTCTTTTTTTTAAACTATCATTAGTTAGAATTACCATCGGTTAAAATTACTGTTTGCTAAAAATACTGTTGGTTAAAATTAGCATTGCTTAAAAATACCAATGGTTGAAACTATCATTGGTTAAAAATTCTATTGGCTAAAACTATCATTGGTTAAAAATTCTATTGGCTAAAATTACCATTGGTTAAAAATATTATTGGATAAAACTATCTTTGGTTAAAAACTACAATTAATTGAAACTACCAGGGGTTAAAAATACAATTAGTTAAAAGTACCATAAAACTACCAATTGTTAAAAATACGATTGATTCAAACTTTTGTTGGTTAAAACTACCATTGGTTAAAACTGGCAGTGGTTAAAAATAAAATTAGTTAAAAGTGCCATTGGTTAAAAATACCAATGGTTAAAAATACTATTAGTTAAAAGTACGATTAGTGAAAAATACCATTGATTCAAACTTCTGTTGGTTAAAAACTACCATTAATTAAAACAAAAATCATTTTTAATTTTCTCAGTTATTGGTTGCTTCTTGCTTCGATTTTTAATTCTACTTCTTTTGATTTTTTAGTTATAAGTTAAAATTCTCATTGATGAGAATTATTTATTAGTTAAAATTACAAATTAGTATTGAACAGAATTATTATTGGTAAAAATTAGTAATTAAAATTACTATTGATATTAAGACCCAATCATTTAAAACTCAACAATTGTTTACCAAAAAAATATATTCCCCAACGAAATCTCCATGAAATACTCTCAAAACAAAATAAAGTTTCGTAATTTTTTAACTTTCATTTATCGAGATGCGTTTGAAAAAGAAGAAATCTGAAAAGCATGTTCGAGAACGGAAATGACAAATAATCGTATTGAATAATCGCCGGCGGATAATCGAGCTTAGAAAATGTATTTCTTCGTGTTTCTCTCTTTTTTCCCTCTATATATAATAGCATTTGGTGGATGGATTTTATATTGTATACATACCAATACATATATACAAAGAAGAAAATTACGGACACCTTTTGCTTTGATTCGTTAAGCGCGACTCGATAATACATTACGAGAGAGGGTTTCCTGTTGTTCCTTTGCAATACGAGGTAAAAGTTCTTTGCCATTTTCCACGTTTATATTTATGTGTGTGTGTGTGGCGCGAATCATTAATTCACTAATAATAGCAATTAAAATCTCAAGACGAATTTCAAAATTCATATAATTTTAATTATTTGCTTGAAGAAAAAATTCTTTCTTTTCATTAAAAATTTCATTCCATTAATACTGTTTATTCTTCCTTTCATTTAATAATCTAATTTCGATTTTTTAACACACACCAGGAACGGTTTGGAATCTAAAGATTATTCTCGTAGGAAGATGTTTCCCACGTTTTGTTTTGCAAATCTCTTGCAAAATTTATCTTCTCTAAAATCGTAAAAAAAAAATTATATAAAAATATTAAAAATGTATTTTTGGAAAAAGTGTCTATACAAAATTTTCTTTTTTTTTCTTAACTGTAGTTAGCAAAAAACTTTTCATTCCTCTTGCATTTTTTTAAACTGTAGCTTGCAAAGAACATTTCTTTCCCCCTGAATTTCTTTTTTTTTTTTAACTGTAATTTGCTAAGAAAATGAAAACAAAAAAATTTGACAACAGGTTGTCAAAAGAAGGATGATTTCTATCGATAATGAAAGAGTTCAAATTATACGTAAAGTAAGCGCGATCGAGTCCCACTTTCCGTGAACGCAAAACCCCATTGCATACGAATTCATAAATTTCTAGTTTTTATTTGACAAAAAAAAAACAAGAAAAGAAAAGAAAAAAAAATCGAGTAAAACGTGTCTTTTATAAAGTTGTTTTATATGCAAAGTGTGTGTGTGCGAGTGAGCACAAAAGAAGACGCACTGATTTCAAATATATGTAATGTATACGTTTGCATATATAACATAAAATATCTCTGGACATGTAAAAGTAATGTGTGTTTGTGTACAATTGACCTGAAAGTACACTGAACGCGATAACACCACTGCCCAGTCACGGAATTTCTGGTAGAAATTTGTAATTCGATACTAGATTCGAAAGTACTTATTTTCTTGAAATATTGACCAGTTTCTGCTTTCTGGCAATAGAAAATGGAAACTCTTGGAAAAATAATTTCAAAACAAAGCACACTGTGCAATTTAAGTCGACGACCTTTATATTATCTTCTCAAGGATTGATCAGTTTTTCTGGTCAAAATGTCTTTATTTTATTTTTGAATTTATTTTTGACTCTATTCTTTATTTTATTTTCGGTTTTATTTTTGACTCTATTTTTTATTTTATTATCGATTTTATTTTTGACCCTATTCTTTATTTTATTTTTGGATTTATTTTTGCCTCTATTCTTTATTTTATTCTTTATTTTATTTTTGAGTTTTGAATCTATTTTTTGTTTTATTGTTGACCTAATTTTTCATTTAAGTTTTGACTTAACTTTTTGTTAAATTTTTAATTTTACTTTTAGTTTTATTTATTAATTGTTTATTAAAATTTCGATTTTATTTTTGATTTATTTGTTTTTTTTAGTTTATTTATTTAAATATTATTTAACTTTCTCATTATAATTAATGCGAAAAAAATTGCCGCACTCGAGGGGAATCGAACCAAAAACCAAAGTGTCGTGCAACGTATGCACAATACCACGCAGCCACGCTGCACTTAATTCCAATTCTTGACCCCCAAATGAAAAAAAACCCCAAATTACCACAAATTATTATTGAAAAAATTATCACCTTGAATGTAAATTGATTAAAAACGAATATTATTCTCTCCAAAAGCGTATTTTAATTTTTAGTGAATATAAATAATTGAATAAACACGTATTCGGCGTAAAAACGATGCGACAGTGATTTAAAGAAAAAAAAAATAATAATCAAGTGCGAGGAGGGTATTTCGAAGATGGAAGTGGGTCGTGGAGAGCATTAAGAGTCCGCGAAACGGACTCGCTTCGGCGATCAAGTACTGTCTCTTTGGTTGTTTAGGAGCACGACACAATCATGTCAAGTGAGCAAGAAACAGAGCGCGAGATGGAAATATCCGAAACAGGTTCTTTTCTCCAATTTTTCTTTTCTTTTTTTTTATTCTCTTCTTTTGCCTGTTTTTTTTTCTTTTAGCTTTCAATATACCGAAAACTTTTATCACTTTTCTATTGTCACCGTAAAATTAGCGATTCTCCCTTTTTTTCCGATAAAAAAACGAGTTTTTTGTATATATACATGAAAGTG